AGCCACCGCTGTGCTATGAAAGCTTTTAGGGTTTAGGGTTTAGGGTTTAGGGTTTAGGGTTTAGGGTTTACGCGTTCAAACTCAGCAGCAGAAACAGCTGTTGCTCCCATTGCTGCTAGCTCTGCTGCAGCAAAATCTTTATATTCTTCTTTCTCTTCTTCTTCTATTACGCCCCCATAAAACACCAAAGGGTTCACACATACTCTGCTGGGGGCTCCCTGGGTACTACTGGGGGCCCCCTGGATACTACTGGCGGCCCCCCAGGTACTGGTGGGGGGGCCCTGGGTACTGGGGGCCCCCTGGATACTACTGGGGGCCCCCCAGGTACTGGTGGGGGGGCCCTGGGTACTGGGGGCCCCCTGGGTACTACTGGGGGCCCCCTGGATGCTACTGGGGGCCCCCTGGATACTACGGGGGGGACCCTCGATACTGGGGGCCCTCAGGGTACTACTGGGGGCCCCCAGGGTACTGGGGGCCCCCAGGGGGCCCCCATATTGTCTACCTAGATGGGGGGCCCCCGGGGGCCCCTCCGAAGAGTTGGGGAGAAAATCAAAGGCAGCGGAGGCATCGTGCTGCTGCTGCTGCTGCTGCTGCTGTTGCTGTTGCTGTTGCTGCTGCTCCTGCTGTTGTTGCTGCTCCTGCTGCTGTTGTTCTTGCTGCTGCTGCTGCTGCTGCTCCTGCTGCTGCTGAGTTTCTCTCCTTGGTTGCAGATGGACCGGCATGTTGCATTTCAATGGCTCTTCTTCTCATACTCTACTCAAGGGTTTAGGGTTTAGGGTTTAGGGTTTAGGGTTTAGGGTTTAGGGTTTAGGGTTTAGGGTTTAGCTGGAGTATATACCAACAAGGGGCCCCCAGGCACTTACGCCAAGAGGCCCCTACCCTTTCTTTATTTTTCTTTTTATTAAATTAAATAATTTATTTATTTTATTTTTTTTTATTCAAATAACAACAGGCAGCAGAAAAGCAGCAGAAGACTGCAGAGGGGGGCCCCCTGGGTATGATACTCTTCTTTGTTAGTACCCTAGAGAGAGAATAAAACAAATTAATAAAAATAAATTTAAATGAATTGTCTTATATTTATATCCCTGTTT